AGTGCAACAATGAATGAATGAAAACCCAGAATCTCTGTAAATGTTCATTAAAATTAATAAAATTTAATAATTAAAAAAATTAAAATCAGGGAACACCGCCATAAAATATCCTATCCGGTTAAATGGTTATGGCCTGGCTTATACTAGCTCCCTGACCTAATTCTGGGAAAAAATTTACAGGCTCTGGTGGCATATTGCATAACATGTTGCGCTGCTTATTAGCAGCTCAGCAGACAGTTCGAATCCGACAGCTTCTCTCTACAGGACAAAGTTGGGATAGTCTATCTACGCTACAATGCCAAATGCATATGGTTCGAATCCACCAGCTGTTCCACAGGAGAAGGATGAACAGTCTCTTCCCATGTGACTTACTGTCTCTGAAAACTCCAGGATCCACTAGGGTCGGTTCCTACTCAACAGCACACAACAACAATAACAACCCCTCCCATAATGATTTATAGCCTCGGAAACTCAGGAGTCACTGTCAATCCACTCCACAGCAGCGAATTTTAGGTGGATATCTGTAGAAACTCTGACGATGCAATGGCTAAACACTTGGGTACTAACACACACAACACACACACACACACACACACACACACACACACACAGGTGGATGGTTAGAGCCCATCTATATCTTGTTGTATAGGGAAAAGATGTGACAGTTAACTTATGGTCAAACAAAACAGAAAAACATTGCCAGTCAGCTCTGACTACAACAGAACTGCCCCATGAGGGTCCTAAGGCTGTAATATCTGTATAGATGCAGACTACCACATCTTTCTTCCAGGGAATATGATGGTGGGTTTGAACTATAGACCTTTTTGTTAGCAGTCCAGCTTAATCACTACATCACTGGGGCTGCTGGCTCACCGAGGCTCTCTGTCAAAATGAAGATAGTTTTGGAAATCCTATGGGGGCAATTCTACTCTGACTTGCGGAGTCATGAGTTGACATCAATTCCCTGGTAAAGGGTTTTGTATTTTGGTGTATTAGTTGTGAAAAAGAAGGCAGTGTGTATGTATCCTTGCATAGAGATGAGCCAGTCTCTAGAGCTTTGATGGTGCTGCACATATGCGGGCCATTACCCAGGCTGCCTCTAGTCCACATCCTTCTCATCTTTGGGGTGTTTCCACATCTATCTGTATTGCTATTGTTGATGTGTGTCTTCAAATTGGAACTGACTTGTAGATGACCCTCCAGCAGTTTTCATTGGCAGTAAATTGCACAAGAGATAACATGCCCAAAGTATATGAGAAGTTTCTCCATCCTTGCACTCAATGGGGATGATCATACTTTCTCCAAGACAGACTTGTGTTTGTTTTTTTTTTTTTTTACAGTCCATGGGATATTCAGTCTTTTTCTAACACCATAACTCAAAGGTATTGGTACTTCTGTCATTTTTAGTCATTGTCTAACTTTCAGATACATAGCAAGTGATCAAAAAGCTACAGCTTGGATCAAGTACACCTTAGTCTTTAAATTGACTTCACTGCTATTTAGCACTTAGCCAAGGTCTCTGACAGGAGATTTTCCCGATGTGACACATCTTTTGATTTCTTGACAGCTGGTGCCATGGTGTTGATTCAAATAAGAAGAAATCATTAATAACTTCAATCTTTCCCTATCTATCATTATATTACCTATTGGCCCAGCGATGAGGAATTCATTTTCTTGATATTGTGATGTAATCCATATTAAAGGCTGAAGTCTTTTATCTTTTACAGCAAATGTTTCAAGTCTTCTTCACTTTCATCAAATGAGATTGCATCATCTACATAATGCAGTTTGTTGAGTCTTCCTCCTATCCTGATGCCACATTTTTCATCACAGAGTTCAGCTTCTTGAATGGTTTGCCCAGCATACAGATTAAATAAATATGGAGAAAGGATACAGCCATTACACATACCTTTATTTTTTTATTATTAAATTTTATTAGTTTTAATGAACATTTACAGAGATTTTGGGTTCTCATTCATTCATTGTTGCACTGTTTTCTCTACCCTCCTCCCCAGTTCGTTCTTCTTCCCGCCCCCCCCAAATGTCTGTTTTAATTGTCCAATTGCCACAGTGCTTGTCAAAGCCAGTTCTGATTAATCTCCTTTGTCAGTGTGCCCTTTGCCATTCCCTATCACTCCTCCCTGAGAGAGACTTCACACTGATTCATAAGGAAAAGGGGATGGCGTATTCTCTTAGCTATACATACCTTTATTTTAACATGCAGTATTGCCTTGCTCAGTTCAGACAATAGCCTATTGGTTAAGTATCAGTTTTACATGATGACAATGAAGTGTTACGGTAGTCCTAATCTTCTCAGTATTAGCCATGATTTGTTGTGATTCACACAGTCAAATATCTTTGTATAGAAAGTAAAACATGAATAGACATCCTTCTGCTTTCAACCAAGATCCTCCTGACAACAGCAGTGTATCCCTGGTGGTATGGCCTTTTCTAAATCCAGCTTGAATTTCTCTCAGTTCTCTGTAAAAGTACTGTTCTAGCCATATTTAAATCATCTCCAGCAAAATTTTGCTTGCATGTTGATATTTATGATATTGTTTGATAGTTTCCACATTCTGGTAGATACCTCTCTTGGGAATGGGAACAAATATGGATCTCTACCAGTTGACTAGTTAGCTGTCTTCCAGATTTTTTGGCACATCCTGGTGAGCACATCCAGGGCTGCATCTGTTTGTTGAAACATTGTATTCTATGAATTCCTGGGGCTTTGGTGGTATAGTCTATAGTGCATTGTGCTGCTAACCCCAAGGTTGCTCATCTATACTGTTACCTCCTGGTAAAGATCAATCCTAAATTTTCCACTTTTAAGTCTTCCTGTCATTTACAGTGTGCTTTCTATGCATGTTATGATCTTAGAATCTTTGCACTCTTAAATTATTAAAGGCTACAAAAGAGCTTTGTCTATGTTGTCTAGATTTACTGAATGAGAAATTAAACAGAAGTTTTTAAAACACAGGAACATATCACAGCACCTTACATCACATCATATAACCATCCTGCATTGCTCAGAAAATGAATGTGGAAAAGGCAAATAATGTATGAATATGGTTTTGACTTTGCAGATACCCTTAAAAGGGTCTTCCCACTAGTGCTTTGAGAAATATGCTTTATTAGACCAAACATCTGGAAATGAGGCATCTCTTGTTAGAATGCCTCTGGCATGTAACACAATACCAAACAGTAGCAGGGACTCAATAAAAGAGTTTTCTGTTTATAAAAGGGCATAAGAAGATTATTGCTGCATTCATCAACATCCAAATCAATTAAGTGACTTCTTGTTGGTTGCCATCGCTTTGATCAGGACTCCTAACAATCCTGTAAACAATAGATGTGAAGTAGTCTCCATAGCAGAACTAGTGTTTCTATATTTATAGTTCCCAAACATTTTGGGCTGCTTAATTTATTGAAACATATTTATCAAAAAAAGAAAAAAACCAAAAAACATATTTATCGATGACCTTTTATGTGGCAAGGAGTCCTTTTGGCATTGAAGGTTCATTATGTGCTGAGCTGCTAAAGGAAAAGTGAGCAATTGAAATCTAACAGCTGCTCCATGGGAGAAAGACAAGGCAGTTTGTTCCTATCAAGGCTTATATGTTCAGAAACTCAATAGAGGGTTACCACAAGTTGGAATTTATGAAACAGAACTGGAGTTTTGAGATGCTGGTGGGTGGAGAGGAGGGGTGAACAGGGAGGAGGCTGTTATGTATCAGACTTTGTGCTGAAAATTTGGTGATGCAAAACTTGGACTGCATGTTCTAGCAAGAGGGAAGGATTAACAGAACATCAGCAAGTAAGTGAGTGAGAAAATTACAGATTGTAGAAAGTGATATTTAAAAAAACACCCCAAAACAAAAAACAAACTCAATTTTTTCTTCTTTTTAAATTTTTAAAACAAAGTGTTGTCTGGTTTGTTGATCGAATCTTTCCCCTCACCCAAGTTAAGCAATTTTTAGTGGCAGGAAAACAGACACCCACATATTACCTTCTATAATGGGAGTAATTTGGAGTCCCTGAC